AGCACCTTTTATGACCCTTAAATATGTTAGATGAATGGTCCAGATTAGTTTGGCTTTTTGCCACGTGCATCATCAATTGAGAGTACATTAGGGACTATTGAGTAATTTCAGGGATTGCTGTAATTATAACGGGTATTTAATTTTTGCCTCGGTAAAAAGCGCATCTTCTGACTCTTATCACGCATACTTCGTCTTCTGCGTGAGACACCATCATCACTCTCCCTCTCCATCAGAACTCTCACTCTCCCTCTCCATCAGAACTCTCACTCTCCCTCTCTATCACTTTCTCCATCTGAACTCTCACTCTCCCTCTCCATCACATCTCAGGCGTTCAACATGGACGGGTCTACTGTCCGCCGATCGAAGAGGCATCGGATGTCCAACGGTGTTCCCATTCAAGGTAATCTCAATCCCCCTATTTTTGCTACTGTTTTTTCCAATTTCGGGTGTTTTTGGTGTGTGCCTCCGGTTCGGGGGATATTGTGTTTGTTTTCTGTGGTACGGCGCATGCACTGTTTCGACCGCCGACTATGGGTGGCGGGAAGGGGGTGGGGAACTGGGGATGCGGGCTGTTAGGGGTAATAGTTTAGGATTTGTGTTAGTATTTAGTTTCTTTTTTTTTTCGGATAATCATATGTTAGTATAACAATGGGGGTTTTTGGGAGTTTTGTGGTTCTGTAGCCAAGCAATTCACATTTGGATGTTAAGGGTCTGTTGCATGTGGTTGATGATGGCGATTTTCCTGCGAAATTCTGTTATTGGGAGGCGGGGAATGGGAGGGGGTACTGGGTAGTTGCGTGTTAGGGTTGGAGATTTCATGTGTGTGATTGTGTTGATTTTTCCGGCAGAAAAGTGTTATCCGCCAGCCTTTTTTTTTTTTTTTTGTTTTTTTTTTTTTTGTTTTTGTGCTCTCTGTTAATTGTTATAAATTCTAGCTTTAGGTAGTTTATATTATGGATGTTATTTGAGTGAATGGTAAAACAGGAAGAATGAAACATAAAACTGCTTGTAAAATTTTAAATCTGTTAAGTTCTTTTGCTTCTTTTCATTAAATGCATTTTATGTATATAGTACGTGCGTTCTGTTAATTGTTATAAATTCTAGCTTTAGGTAGTTTATATTATGGATGTTATTTGAGTGAATGGTAAAACAGGAAGAATGAAACATAAAACTGCTTGTAAAATTTTAAATCTGTTAAGTTCTTTTGCTTCTTTTCATTAAATGCATTTTAGGTATATAGTACGTGCGTTCTGTTAATTGTTATAAATTCTAGCTTTAGGTAGTTTATATTATGGATGTTATTTGAGTGAATGGTAAAACAGGAAGAATGAAACATAAAATTGCTTGTAAAATTTTAAATCTGTTAAATTCTTTTGCTTCTTTTCATTAAAGATATCTTGATGGCTGTGTAGTTGTTAGATGAAATAGCTGAGAAGTTTTATGGATTACGACGCCAGAGTCCACTGCAGGGGATGTTTGGAGATATCTTTAAGGTAACATTCCTGTTGAGATGCATTTATTCTCATTCCCGGGCTCTAAACCCGCGAAACAAACACTATCTTAATGCTGATGAAAATCTCTTTCAAATCCTAATTCATCACACGGTTTTTGTATTGTGTCCCCATTCCCAGATGATGAGAGGTGAATAGGCGATATGAGTTGCTGCTTTTGCTAATGAGCTACAACAACAGTTGAAGTGCCCCAAGCCGATCGGCCGGCGCCCGATGTGGGTGGGTCAATGCGTATCTCTGTCTCAGAGTATGCTTGGGTTTGTAATGTAATGCTTGGTTTTGTAATATAGTGTAGTGTGTTATTTAAACGTTCAATAATGTACAAATTGCATATCAATGATTCACCGTAGTAGGTATACTTTGATTTATGATCCATTCTTGTGTAATTTAGGATGTGTTACTTCTTTAAATTTTTCATATGACATAGCTTATTAATAGATTATTATATCGTTTGTGCATATAGAGGGTCTGGTATGTGCATATTGATATTCAGTGTGTTATAAACATGTTTTTGGTATTAAAATAATACCACGGTGTTTTTAGTCTTTGGTATGTGCGTAGCAAAGGCGTGTGAGTGCATTGAAAGGATTTAGTTAAATAATACCATGGTGTTTTTAGGGTAATAGGAAAATGCATTGTAGTTATATAGTACGTGCGTTCTGATTAGTATGTGCATATAGGAAGACTCTGATTTGCTATTAACATCATGCATTGTAGGTATATAGTATGTGCGTTCTGATTAGTATGTGCATATAGAGGATCATGTAGTTGCGTTATACATGTTCAAACATGATTGTGTAGATTTAGTATCGTGGTTTTGTAATTTTAATTTTTGTGCTTTGTTTAGTATCGTGGTTTTGTAATTTTAATTTTAACAACATGATTGCGTTAATTCTTCAGTGCTTTGTTTCAAAGAAAGAATAGTAAGGGGTTGTGGCACAATGGGTATGTGCGTAGTAGTGACTATGCGAGTGCATTTCTAGTTAGCCTTAATTACTTTCATTGTATCCATGTTAACATCCATTCCATGCACATTTTTGTGCATTTTAGATGTGGTGGTTTGTGCATTTGTGATCGTTAATTAGTATGTCGCTATATGCCTTGGTAGATGTGTATGTCGTTTGTGCTTTTCTAGGATATAGTATATGCGTGTTGCATTCTCACATTTTGATCTGATTTAATTTGGAAAGGTACAATGCTTTGTTTGCAGTGTTATCTATCTTTGGTTTGCATTTATAAAGTTTATTTAGGGTGATGCAATGTGTTTTAAACATCTTTTTCATTTATCCTACCATTGGGTTCATTGGTCGTTCGTTTTAAGGTTTGTGCATTTTTGGGAATATATATTTTGTGCACCAGATATATTATATGTGCATGTCCAGTTCTAGTCTGTATTATGTGATTTTAGTGTTCTTTTATTTATTTATTTATTTATTAAGTCTGTGCATATATATCCGTATGGTAGGTGCATTATTATGCTTTCTAGGTGTGTACGTGGTTTGTGCTTTTATAGGGTATAGTATATATATAATTTCGCACATGATATCAAGTGACAACTATGCACGTACCTTTCGTCTACAACGCATTCCATACATGCACTTTTTTTAGGTGTACTAATGCATATATTATTATAATTTGTTGTCTATGCATTGGTCCACAACAGTTTGTGCGTATATACATGTATATAATATATATAAGTGAATTTGCCCCCTGTGATGACCAATTTGGTATTACGCATTATTTCTATGGTCAACAATTTTCTATTACCGTTCATTACCCAGCTTTTTGGTTAATGCATGGTTATTTAAATTTTGAAATTTGCATGAGTAGATGGAAATGTGCATAACACACATATGTAGTCTGTGCATTTACACTATGTAGTATATTATGTAGTCCGTGCATTTTAAATTATTGTATGTGCATAGGCCCAAGGTTTGTGCGTTTTTACATGTATAATATATATATAAGATTGAATTATGCACAGACCCGTTTCTTAAAATGCTAACTCCTGTTAATAAAAAAAAACGCAACGTTCCAATCTCGGACACCCCCCTTCATCGTCCAGTTGATAAGCAATATTCAAAACGATCATATGCACAGACTCGAACCGTTCAAGCACTTATTGGTACAAACCAAAAGAATACCAAAATCACGGACATAGAGCAGGTTTTTTGTAAGGTAGAACGGCGTATATGTTATAAGCATTATACAAAAACCAGCATATGCACCGACACGAAGTATGCACGGACGAAAACAAAAACAACCTAACATGCACGGACAAAAAAGTACACATGCACTGAGCAGTACAAGGCAAAGCAAAAACAACATATAAACAACTCGGTGGAAGTATATATGTACGCACAGGCAGGTGTACCCGTACGCACACGGGGTGTGAACGCATGCTAACGACCACCCCCAGACCCTTTTCACATCTCAACCATTACTGGAAAAACCAAAAAACGCACAGACTATGCTGTGTATATGCACTTACCGTGACTGCCAATGTCCATTTGCTGAAAGTCCTAACTTGCTGCTCCTACTATCACCAGCTTATTCACGTTAAATATGTTATCTAATCTTTTTATTAATAGAATCTATTAATTTCCATCCTCAAAAGCATCAAAAGATGATTCATATTCCTTTTAAATTAATTCATTAATTAAATCAGCTAACCAAATTACTAATCTAACCTTACCATAGATAATAACTGAAAATATTTCTTTTAATCTCAACCATAGATGAGAATCTAATCAATGGGTATTATTAGGCCTCATGGGCTCATCTAATTAGAGGGGTGCACCAGATCCAAAGCCTATATATATATATATATATATATATATATATATATATATATATATATATATATATATATATATATATATATATATAACCCAGTTTCTCAACTTGGTGAATTATATCCTAGACCCCATTAACTCATCATATTCAAACCTATGAAGAAGTAAATCAAATCAATTTGTTACTTTTCGATGGTGCTGAGAACGTTGTAGACTTGTAATGTCAATTTTTCATTCTTCATTATTCATTTTGAGCTTATAAAATATCAAATTCATTGAACTAAAATGATCTGAATATATTTTGACCTGACCCAAAATGTTAATTTTTTCAACTAACACCTACAAATCCATCTTTAAATATTACAATTATATCAACAGTTGGCAGTTCAAACATCCATCTTTAAGTATTACGGATACATGCAATTATATTAACAGTTGGCAGTTCGAACATCTATCTTTAAATATTACAATTATATCAACAGTTGGGAGTTCGAACATTCATTTTTAAATATTACAATTATATCAACAGTTGGCAGTTCGTACATCTATCTTTAAATATTACAATGATATTAACAGTCGACAGTTCACTTACTAACTACACTTTAGGTGGGAGTTTAAAATATCTATTTTTTTTTAGTTTATCCGCAGGCCATTTGTTCCCTTTTTTTCCAGTATATATATCCGCATCCTGCCTGGTCTTAGCTCCATAATCCGTCTCCTACAGATAGAGAGAGAAGTACAATACACACTCAAGAGTAGAGGTAACTCAAATGGCTGTCGGAAAAGACCCCATGTATGTGGATCAATCCCTGGAAAATGGGGAGATTCAGAAGAATTTCGACGACGATGGCAGAGAGAAGAGAACTGGTACGTAACGTACACATAATACATAAATTTATTGTGTTCCCATGTTCTATGTTGTTAACTTGTTGGCCGGCCGGCGGTCTGTTTTTGAACTGAAGGGACTCTGCTGACGGCGAGCGCGCACATCATCACCGCCGTGATTGGGTCGGGAGTGCTGTCTTTAGCTTGGGCCATCGCTCAGCTCGGCTGGGTCGCCGGTCCGGTCGTCCTCATGACGTTCTCCTTCATCACTTACTTCACCTCCACCCTTCTCGTCGACTGTTACCGCTCTCCCGGCCCCGTCGACGGCAAGAGAAACTACACCTACATGGACGTCGTCCGTTCTCATTTGGGTACGTAAAACTATACCTTAAATGATTTTGTCGCCGTGAATTTCTCCGGCCAAATTCCTAAGCCGCCGTTTGGCTTCTTGTCGTCGCAGGTGGCGTGAAGGTTCAGCTGTGCGGGATTGCTCAGTACGCTAATCTTGTCGGAGTCACTGTCGGTTACACCATCACCGCTTCCATTAGTATGGTGTAAGCATTCAAACCAAAGAATCCCCACCGCCCAACTATTTTCCATATTTACCAACCATTCTTGCCTTTTAGATTTCACTTTTTAACAATAAATTTCCCAACCCTCTTCTTTTGTTCTAACTCTAAAAAAATCCAGAAAAAAAGAATCCATTTTCTACAGTCACTTTTAACGGCACCGTCCAATTCAAGCTTTTCAAAAGGAGAACAAAATCTCATACTTTTTTTCTTTTTCCTAGTATTATATGATATCACATGAACACAGTCTCTCACCTGTCAGGAAGCTTTAAAAATTATACATTTTTAAAGATGACGTTTTTGAAATTGTTGCCTAAATGAATTAGATTATATTATTCATATGACGACAATAATGGGTTGTCTGTGAAGTCCAATAATTGACTAATAATGTTGTCCGGTCCTAATTAACTCCTAACAGAGCTGTGAAGAAGTCCAACTGTTATCACAAAGAGGGCCATGATTCTCCTTGCAGCATATCAAACTACCCCTTCATGATCGTCTTCGCCATAATCCAGATAATTCTGAGCCAAATTCCAAACTTCCATAAGCTCTCATGGCTGTCTATACTCGCCGCCGTCATGTCTTTCGCCTACTCCTCCATTGGCCTCGGACTCTCCATAGCCAAAGTCGCAGGTACACTATATATATATTTATGTGTTCTTGGATCTGATCTGAGAAAATGCGTTCACATGGCCGGAAACGTAACCCTGTTGGATAACCACCCAAATTTCAAAGGACAATAATTTAATTATTATTTGTTGTGAATCTTGTATTTTTGTGACGTTAAAATAAAGCAAATATTATAGGTCATGGACCGCACCACGTAAGGACAAGCCTAACAGGGGTGCAGGTTGGGGTGGACGTGTCAGGAGCAGAGAAAGTTTGGAGAACCTTCCAGGCCATCGGCGATATCGCGTTTGCTTACGCCTATTCCACCGTTCTCGTTGAGATTCAGGCAAGTTCATACGTCATAAACATCATCGTATAAATTAAATGCATACTTATCCATACACGGAATAACTACCCGATGACTTTGAGTTGTAACGTAGCTATAAATAGGAAATTTGAGTTTGAGTTTATTACGAAAGACTCTTGTTAGTATTGGTCTAGTATAATTGAATGAGAATCAGAATTATTATCTTTAAATGGCAGATTTAACTTAGATTAGATGTAGACTTTTTTTGGTGCACGAATAAAGAGCAATACAACGTGGAAGGATATATGGTTTTGAATGGTGTATTGCCCCGTATTGGGTCCGTGTCTTATCCTGGACAATCAAACAAAATTGTTGTCGGTTTCTTGTCTCTTCTGGAAAACTTAATTGCGTGTGGAAAGAACTTCACAGTTTCTTGGGCAATTATGATTCAATAATTAAAGACTTAATTTTTAAGTAAAATACATATGTGACTTGATTATTCGAGTGAATTGAATCCACTAATCACTACAAGTGTAGCGATGTCGATTTTTGTGGTCTTGATTTAAAGATTCTGTGATTTTAATAAAGTGGTTTAATTTGTCAGTTACCTTTGTAAACAATTTTTTTCAGAAGAGATGGACTAGGCCTTTTCACGTAGATGTGAAAGCCCACTTTCATCTTTTTATGTCCGCCATCCTTTTTGGTATTGTCACCATCTTTATTCCGATCTTAGTCAGATTGATTGGTGGCAAAGTTTAGTCGGGCCACCTTCATATTAAGGGTGATTTATTTATGTACAAAAATAGTAACCATAGTTTTGAGATTATGGGTAAACGGATATGTAGAGTTTGATTCTTACTTGAGAAAGTCATGTTTTGAGTGCAGGATACCTTGAGATCACACCCACCGGAAAGCAAGGTAATGAAGAAAGCATCCGGTGTGGGAGTGTCGACGACAACCTTATTCTATATCATGTGCGGTTGCCTTGGCTACGCTGCATTTGGGAATGATGCTCCTGGGAATTTCCTTACTGGGTTCGGTTTCTACGAGCCGTTTTGGTTGATCGACTTCGCTAATGTTTGCATTGCCATTCATCTCGTCGGAGCTTACCAGGTACAGAGTAACATATATAATATAATAATGTCTCATTCTCACTCCAAAGATTACTTGAACACACAGATCAATGAGAGCATCAGAATATGCAAATACTGAAGGATTCTTGGCTTTGTTTAATTTCCGCAGGTTTTCTGTCAGCCAATCTTCGGGTTCGTGGAGTCACGCAGCAGCGAAAAATGGCCGGAGAGCAAATTCATAACGGCAGAATACGCGATCAGAATTCCATGCTTGGGAGCTTTAAGGGTCAACTTTTTCCGGCTGACATGGAGGACAACGTACGTGATAGTCACATCGGTGTTGGCCATGATCTTTCCGTTCTTCAATGACTTCCTGGGGTTGATCGGCGCCGCCTCGTTTTACCCGTTGACGGTGTACTTCCCCATCGAAATGCACATCGCTCAAGCCAAAATCCCCAAGTATTCATTCAGGTGGACATGGCTGAAAATTCTGAGCTGGGCTTGCCTGTTCGTCTCCCTTGTGGCCGCCGCTGGATCCATTCAGGGCCTCGCTTCCGACGTCAAAACATATAAACCTTTTAAAACTCAATGATATCTCCATCCAGTTATTAGCAGTGTAGAATATGTAATAATAGTTTCAATAAAATGGATGGGATTCTGATGGTTAATGCAAGTGTAGGATGTGTGTTTAGCAATTTTCATATTAAATTCAATGCCAAAGATAGAGTTATGTAGTTGTTATTTGTTAAATATAACAATAAGGTCAGAGATTAGACTTTTGTATGTTTACTATATACATATAAAAGGTCATAAAATTAAGTAAAGTCATTAGTGCAACAAATTGTACTAATCAATTTACAATCTCAAAATTTTCAACACCCAAAAGAATATATATATATAAAAGAAAATAAAGATTATAAGGCAACTCCATTGATTAGTTTTTTAATTAGTGGATAAAGTTATATTAAAAAGATGTAATAAAAAAGTTTAAAAACTAATATTAATAATTGGAGTGATTGTTAGTTAGCGATTACTTCAATCACCCAATAATTGTACATACACACCTGTTGTGCATCATTTGTGCTAGCAATGTGCAACTTTTTCATTGTAATCATTTATCATTTATAATATATTAAACGATAAATTTGAGTTTATTTAGAGTTTAAAGATAATACGTTATTGTAATTATTGATTATGATTTTGAGTTTGGGATGACAACTCATAATAACGGTCAACATAATCATACTATATCACATTAAGGACCAATCATGTCATTTTAAAATGAGTAATTTTTTTAAAACTCGGATATCACGTTTTATTTGTTTTTTTTTTCTTTAAAATAATATCAAACGCAATTATTCTTTAAAATAATATAATTCTTAAAAATAGAAATTAAATTGACTATGGGTTTGAATTGAGAAATTAATTTTGGAATATTAAAAAATATATATAGTATTTGTCGTTTCATTTACTTCATTCAATAAAAATAAAAAAACATGGGATAAGAGGCATTCAAATAAATTAATTGTAACCTTCTTACACTCTCACATTTGCCATATAAGCTTCTCTTTCCTCAACATATGCTAAAAGTCTAATGAAAATTCCCCATTGATTGCTCTAATAAGAGTACACTTATTATTTTTTCATAATAAGATGTAATAATCCTACCAAAAAAAATAATAAGATGTAATAATGATAGATAGGTAGACAATTACGATGGCTATTTAAAGTTAAAATAATAATAATAATAATAATAATAATAATAATAAATATAATATGAGCAACCATTAATTCTGGGTTTAAATTTTAGTTAACATTGCATGTTAACATTCAACGCAATGATCATATAATAACGTTATATATTAACTAGTATTTTCACCTGTGCGATGCACAGAATGGAATTGTTGTAATATATTACGAATATTTAAATCGATATATAATTATTTAAGAGTTAATTTCACCAGAGCTGGTCGCTTATCTTTTCTGACAATTCCAAATTTAATCCCAGACTATAGTTATTAATCATTACGATTTATTCTATGTTATAATTCTTACGTTAATATTCTTACTATTATTATTAACACTTAATTACTTTTAGATATTATTATTACCACTTATATTATTATTATATAATTATTATTATTAGTTTCTTTTCAAGTTCTGTTAGTATATAATGGCCGTGAGGCACAATAATAATATAACCATAATTAAATATTATTGTATTGTATTCCGTGAGTCATAATAATAATATAACTGTTCTGTATATTTTGCTATGAAAAGGGGAGAGAAGAATCTATTTTGTCTTAATCATCAAAACTGTTCTGTATACAATTGGGAGCTTATTATATACAAAGAAGGGAGAGGAAAACAGAAAGAAAGAGGGAAAGAAACAGAAAGTAGCAGATGTCAGTTGAGGGCAGTTGAGGTGGATCTTCTATATGCTGCCAGGTGTCATTCATTTGTGTCCCCTGAAAGCCCCCCACAAGCTGGATTGTATAGATTGAACAATCCAAGCTTGGAGACATAACTCTGGAATGATCTTGGACAATGAGTTTTAGTGAGCACATCTGCAAGCTGGTTCTCAGAAGTAACATGAAAGAGCTTTATCACCCCCTTCTGCAGCTTTTCTCTGATCAGGTGGCAATCTAATTCGATGTGCTTCGTACGTTCATGGAAAACGGGGTTCTCAGCAATTGCTATTGCTGACTTGCTGTCACAATAAACAGATGCAGGTGCACTATGGCATATGCCAAATTCATCAAGCAGATATAGTATCCACTGCACTTCACAAGATGCTGCTGCCAAGGCTCTATATTCAGCCTCTGAGGAAGATTTGGACACCGTGGCCTGCTTCTTGGACTTCCAGGATATCAGGGCTTCACCTAAGAAGATGCAGTATCCAGTGACTGACTTTCTAGTGTCCACACAAGCTCCCCAATCTGAATCAGAAAAAGCTTTCAGGTGCAACTCTGATGATGCTGGGAAAAACAGCCCTTGACCGGGAGCACACTTGATGTATCTTAGGACCCTGTAAGCTGCTTGTAGATGTAGATTGGTAGGCTTATCTAGAAATTGTGATAGTTGTTGTGTAGCAAAGCTTATGTCCGGCCTCGTGATAGTTAGATATAAGAGTTTTCCAACTATCCTTCTGTATTGTGTGTTATCATCAAGTAGATCACCTTCATCTTTACTCAACTTATGTGAAGGAACTGTAGGACTGTAAACTGGTTTGCAATTCATAAAACCTGTGTCATCAAGAAGTTCAAGAGCATACTTTCTTTGAGATATTGAGATGCCTTCCCTTTGTCTGGCCACTTCCAAGCCTAAAAAATACTTAAGAGGGCCTAAATCTTTAATCTGAAAGTTGTCATCAAGCTGCTTCTTTACCTGCTGAATCAGTTTAAGATCTGCACTAGCCATTATAATATCATCTACATAGACCAATAAGGCCACAAATGATATTCCTTCACCTCTAACAAACAAAGAATTATCAGGAGTGGTCTGTTTGAACCCCAGATTCTGCAAGGCTGTGCATAGCTTGGTATTCCACTGCCTACTAGCCTGTTTTAACCCATATAGGGACTTGATTAGTTTGCATACCTGCCCATTCTTTCCTTCTGCAAAACCAAGAGGGAGTTGCATATAAACCTCCTCTTCTAAATCTCCATGGAGGAAAGCATTGTTGACATCCATTTGGTGAAGATGCCAATCTTTTGCTGCTGCCACTGCCAATAAGGTCCTGATAGTAGTCATCTTTGCCACTGGACTAAAGGTATCTAAGTAATCAATACCAAGTGTTTGTGTGTATCCCTTGGCTACAAGTCTTGCTTTGTACCTTTCAATAGTGCCATCTGCTTTATGTTTGATTTTATACACCCACTTGCATCCTATAGGCTTCTTTGATGGTGGCAATTCCACCAACTTCCAGGTATTATTTCTTTCAAGTGCTGCAATCTCATCTGCCATGGCATTTCTCCAACACTCATGCTTTACTGCCTCAATATAGTTCTTTGGTTCAGTGTGGCAAGTGATGTTCATGGCAAAGGAATGAAAAGAAGGTGAGAGTCTATTATAGCTCATGACTTTGGAGATATCATGAGGGGAAGTTTTTACCACAGAGGTATGACAAACATAATCCTTCAGATAGGCTGGAGCTTGTTTATGTCTGGTGGATTTCCTGGCAGCAGGTTGTTGAGGCTGATCAAGTGAGTCAATGTGTGTCTTTTCAGGTGACTGTCTGAAGGTCTCATTAAGAGAGTGACTGTGTGCTTCTTCAAGACTGCTGTTAGGCTGTTGATGAACTTGTGGACCATTAGTAGGCTCATCTTGGATGTCAGTCATGGATGGAAGTATTATCTGAGAAAAATTCTTCCCTGGATCTGCAGTATGTTGGAATGGGAAAATATGCTCATAGAAAGATACATCCCTGGAAACAAACATCTCCTTGGATTGTAGATCATACAGTTTATATCCCTTAGTGCCATTAGGATATCCAAGGAAAATACATCTCTTGGCTCTAGCATCAAACTTTGACTTAGGGCCTAAGGAGGTAGCATATGCCAAACAGCCAAATACCCTTAAGTGCTGATATGTTGGAGTGTTGTGTAGCAAAACCTGATAGGGTATCTGATCATGGATGGCAGCAGAGGGCAATCTGTTGATAATGTAAGCCGCATGTAAAACACACTCACCCCAAAAAAATTCTGGCAAGCCTGCTTGGAATCTAAGTGCCCTAGCAGTGGACAATAGATGGGCATGTTTCCTCTCTACTCTGCTGTTTTGCTGAGGAGTGTAGGTGCAAGAGGTTTGATGCAATATTCCCTTCTGGCTGAAAAAATCAGACATGTCAAACTCAAGGCCATTATCTGATCTTATACATTTCACATGCACTCCAAACTGGTTTTCAATCAGGTTACAGAAGCCTGTGATTAAACTCCTTACTTCAGATTTCTTCTTCATTAACTGAACCCACACTGCCCTGCTATGATCATCTACTATGGTGAGAAAATAATGATGACCATGTGTTGTGGCTACTCTGTAAGGACCCCATATGTCCATGTGCAATAAATCAAAGCAGTTAGTTGAAACAGAGGTACTAACTTGGAAGGGAAATCTCTTTTGCTTAGCAAAGTGACAGCAATCACAAAACAAATCTTTATTCATTTGAATGGTGGAATCCACCTTATGTAAACATTGAACTTTGGAGTATGAGGCATGTCCCAACCTGGCATGCCACAGGCTATTTCTATTTACATTTGCAACATTGCATATAGAAGGGGAAATAACAGGAGAAACTAAATGATATAAGCCATTTTGAAGTTCAGCCACTCCAATCACCTTGCCATGGGTAGCATCCTGTACAATACACTTATTAGTGTGCATCTTTATAGTGCAATTGGAATCCTTAATAAAAGCCCCCACTGATATTAGGTTGTAATGAAATCCAGGTACATAAAGTGCATTGTGTAAGACAAGCTCATCAGACAAATATACAGAACCAACACATGTGATAGCAGCCTGTTGTCCATTAGGTAAGCCGACATGCATATTGTGAACCCCCTGATAGTTTTTCAATAGACTTAAGTGGCAAACAATGTGGTGAGTAGCACCACTGTCTATTATCCAATCATTCTCACTGCAACTCACAGAATTAAGTGAAGGGTTCATACCTTCCATTTGTGCCCCTGGCATGATGCCTGCAGATAAGATATTTGCTTGTGCAGC